TATATATATATATATTATATATATAAGATTTGACAAATATTTTTATTAAAAAATTAACTTACCTTTAAACCAAGCAGAATCGCTCTTGCAGAATGTATTGCTTGTTTTCAGTAGAGATTGCGCAAATTCTAAACTCGGACCATAGGTGTCTGGGCATATTTCTTTGTTATTAATTACACATTCAGCAAAATTTTTCAATTTTCTGCAGAAAATGAAAAAGTATTTATTTTTTATTAATAAGAAATTTTTGGACTTCTTGCGCTAGCAATCCAAAATATTTACTGACAAAAAATTTCAAATATACGGGATGTTCTATGATTACTTCAGTGTATATCTTTAGAAATTGTCAAATAAAGGAAGAAAAAAGAAAGAGATTGCTAATTAAACTAGACTAGCTTGGAAGAACATCCCTGATAATGTTAATTTCGCTATTTTTATCAGTGATATGATAAATTTAGAGAGTTTTGTTTTTTAAACTTGCTTAACTATTAATTTACAATTCTTTACATGCATGTTATTTTAATAATTATTCTTCCAGTATAAACTACGCCGTTTGTAGAAAACACCTTATAAAACTAGGAATAAAATGAAATTAAATTAAAAAAATTGAAAACAATTTTTTTTCTCTTTTTATAGGCTTCTTACGTGCATAGTTCTTCCAGTTCACTGCCACTCGTTGGGAATTTCAATTCTTGGATGGGGATTCCGCAAACTTCTACCACATTTTCTGGACACTCGTCTTGTCCATCAACCAGAAAAACTGTAAGATAATGTAAAGTAAATAAACTAAACAGGAAAGAAGATACACGTGTTATTTCTTAACAACCTTAAAAAAGATTCGAAATTTAAGTTAAAAATGTACCATAAAGAGTATTAAAATTCAACTTGATTGTCAAAGAAGAAAAGAAAAAAACAATTGTTAGAAAAACATAGAAACTTTGTTTTTAGAACCAGTTTCTTCAGTGAGGATTCGCTAGACTTTTTGGGCATTTTTTTCATTTTCTCTTCGTCTGAAGATAAGGGAAACAGTGCTATCAGGATTTTTGACTACATGCTGCAATTGCAGACGCTATTTTTTGGACATTTAAAAAACTTTATGAAGATTGAAAATCGTCATCTTTTAAAAAAAATGGTTCGAAAGGGTAATAAGTACGCACTTTTCCCCCTGATAAGAGAATCAGGGACTTCAGAAGAGGCCGTGAAGTTTCCCTCGTGCGTTATTTGTAATTTGAGTCCAATGATTAAGGCGGTGGTCATTACATAATTATTTTATATAACTGTAGTTGAACAGCCGACCCAATTTTTGGGTCTACGACTGCTAATGTTCAACTCCGTAACCTTGCAATTTTGAATCCAATCCAGAAGTCAAGAGAATTTCTGGATCAAACATAGTGAGAAATTTGATTTCGAGGAGGACTTTTTGATGGAATTAACCCGTTCTTGTGTTAAGTGGAGGGAAAGGCCACGAGAACTTCCCACTGAGAGCCTGAAAGCAAAGGGACTCTTAGCCATGATCTATCTGCCACAGAGGATATTTCACGTCAGCACTGTGGTCGGTGCAAGCCAGATGCGGATTTGTATCGACCACCCATCTTTGGGATTCGAACCAGATTCACCTCATTGAAAGGCGAACGTTCTATCTTCACTATCTATCGTTCACCTCATCGCGGCTCATCATATAAATATTAAAATTTTTATTACATAAATATTAAAAAACTTAATGCACTTCAAACGAAAATTATAAA